GCTAGGAAAAAAAGCACTCTTAGGAAAAAGAAAACCACTCCCAAAAAAAGATCCCAACCCCCTCCTCAACCACAACCCTCCCCACCAGTCCCTGAACCACAACCCTCCCCACCAGTCCCTGAACCACAACCCTCCCCACCAGTCCCTTCTGTCCCTGAACCACAACCCTCCCCACCAGTCCCACTTGTCCCTGAACCACAACCCTCCCCACCAGTCCCTAAATCACAACCCTCCCCACCAGTCCCTGAATCACAACCCTCCCCACCAGTCCCTGAACCACAACCCTCCCCTGATCCTTCCCATGTACCTGTCAGTGAAGAAACAGAAGTCCCACCTCCACCTCCACCATCTGCTCTAGTAAAAAAGGGGAGATCAAGACCTGAGGGATTTAGGTCAAAAAAGACTGCTTCTAGCAAGGGTAAGGGGGTTGGTGTCAGTCTGAGGAGATCAGCAAGGAACATGGCTACAAATGTTCCTGTCAATGAAGAAAACTCTGAAGAAAACTCTGATGAGTTTGGAAGTGACAGTGAGGATGATGATTATATACTTTTTAGCAGTGAGGAAGATGATGATGAGGCAGATCTCTGTGATTTCATAGAGGATGAAAGAGACACAGATGACCTTCATGATGATGTTCCAGAGAAGCAGTTTCAGGATTTTTTGGATGGCAGTTCAGCAATGGATAAAACATATAAAAATGGCAAAATTTGGACCAATAAGGAGTTTGGATCCATCACTTTAGAGCCATGGCTCATATTTGCAGACAGGCAGTCATTTCTGGATGTGTTTAAGGACTACTGTGTCCAAGAAGGGTTTGGGGTTTATGTAGAAAAGAGTGACCCAACAAGATTGATAACAAGGTGTGCTATTGACACATGCAACTGGAGGATTCATGCCTCCACTATGAAAGACAAGATCAGCTGGGCAATCAAGTCTCTAACTGGAGAGCATAGTAGTTGTGGGAGATTGGAAATAAATCCAATTGTGACATCTCAGTGGCTGTGTAGGCATCTTCAGTCAGACATTCATGCCAATCCTGACATACCAGTTGATGCATTACAGAAACTTTGTATGGAAAGGTTTAGGCTACAAGTGAAGAAAAGGTTGTTGTACAAGGTGAGGACAATGTCCAAGGAGATTATCCATGGTGGTTATGGGGAGGCCTACTCAGTGTTGCCTAGGTATGCTGAAATGGTGAAGGAGACCAACCCAGGTAGTTATGCCCTGATCACATGGGGTGAGGCCACTGCAACTGAGCCCCCAAGGTTCAAGGGCTGTTTCTTTTCTTTTGCTGCCCAACTAAGGGGATTCTTGAGAGGATGCAGGCCATTCATTGCATTGATGGAGCCCACCTGAGTGGACATTTCAAGGGCATTCTGCTAATTGTTGTTGGGATTGATGGGAATAATGAGATTTTTCTCATTGCATATGGAGTGGCGGGTTCTGAGAGTATTGACAGTTGGGGCTATTTTCTTAGGAATTTGAGGTGCTTGTTTGAGAAAGAAGGTTGTAGGAGAGATGATTGGACCTTCATCTCTGACAGAATGAAGGTAATCCACCCTCATATTCTTGTTCTTACATGTCACTCTTAGTTTAGTTTCTCATGTTTAACAATTACTCATTACACTGTTTTGTATGCAGGGGGTTGACACAGCAATTAATGAGACATTCCCTAGAGCAACAAGAAGAGTGTGTTGCCAGCACCTATACATGAACTGCAAGGCTAAAGGATTTAGTGGTTCAGCATTTCACAAGCTGTTCTGGATAGCAGCTGATGCATACAACGAGTATGTGTTCAACAAGGCAATGCAAAAGATAAAAGAATACAACCCTAAGGCTGTTGAGTACTTAGATAGTTGCACTTAGGTCTGGTCAAGGCATAAGTTTGATCCTGCCCTCTGTTGTGACCATAACACAACAAATTTTGTGGAGTCTTTCAACTCATGCACCAAGCCATACAGAGATTTACCAGTTCTGAAAATACTTGAAGGTACGACTATTTTTGCATACTGTTTTGAACCATAACACTACTATGTTTGCATACTGTTTTGAAGCTGAACACACAAAAATATACTGTAATCCATGTTGTTAACACCTTTTTTTTTTGCATACTGTTTTGAAGTTATAAGGCAATGGGTGATGAAGAGGATTGGCTCAAGGTTTGACAAATCACTAACCATGGGGGATATGGACCTGACTGAGTATGTAGACAAGATTCTACAAACAAGATCAGATGAGTCAAGGTTATGCTATGCTATTCCCTGTGGTGGGGATGAATTTGAGGTCAGAGACCAACATGTCCATTTTCCCATCAAGCTGAGCACTGGCATATGTGGTTGTGGGAAATGGCAGCATTCTGGACTTCCATGCAAACATGTGCTGAGGGTCATATACCACCAGAGGCTGCAACCAGCAGACTTTGTAGCCCCCTGTTTCAAAGGGAAGGCATACAAGCTCACTTATGCAGAGCATATGCACCCTATGCCTGACCCATCACAATGGCCATCAGGGAACCTATCTGACATATTGCCCCCTTTGGTGAAAAGAGCTGCAGGGAGACCAAAGAAGCAAAGACAAAGAGGGAAAAATGAATCTAGGAGAGGGAAGAGGCATGCAACAGTAAAGTGCAGCTTATGCAGTGAGTTGGGACACAACAAGGTCACTTGTTCATCAAAGGAAGAAAAGGGCTGCAACTGAAGCAAGCACATCAGCCACCACCTCTCAAGCCAACAACAGAAAAAAGAAAGCAGCATGAATGCAAAGTTTCTCCTGTTTTTAGTGCACACCCAGTTTCTCCATGTAATTTTTGAAGATTGACAGTGTTGTGTGTGCTATTTTGTGTAGTATCTTTTGACTATAAACTTGTAATTAAACAGGAAGCATCTTTTGGGTACATGATTTGAACAGGAACCAATTTTTTGGGCACAAAATATAACTTCAGTTTTTATTAAATTTCAATCCAATTACACAATAGTTTACTTCAATATTACAAACATCACTACTACACAAATCAGTAACCCTAATTTAATTATACAATCCACGACTTTCTGCTGTTGCTTGATTTTCTTCTTCAACAGTTTCAATTCTTCATGTACATTGCTTTGGCCTGACCCATCCCTTGCATAACAGCTTCCCCTGCTCTGACTTCCCATGCTTTGACCTTCTTCATGCATCACAACCTTGCACCATTTGAAGCTATCACATGCATCACACTTATAATAAAGCCTCTGGGGATTTGATGTTGATTCTGAGCTTCTAATTGCATATTTTCTACCACAATTGCACAATTTATTTGGAACCCTCACATACGCATACTCATGTTTTGAAGAGGATGTGTTTGACATGAAGCTCATGATTTTGCAAAAATCATTTCCTACAACAGTTGTAGTCTACTGTATATATAACAAATGCGGTGCAACGGCTATTATGTCCAAAAAAAATTTAAAAAAACTCAAACTAACTAGCCGTTACACTTCATATGAACAGAGGTTTTTCTGGGAAACAAAACATAAAAGTAATGGCATTTGGTGAAATATATAAACTTCTCAATGGCATTTCATGAATTAAGAATTTCATTAACGGCCAACTAACGTCCTGGCATCATTAATGGCATGTTGTGTTAATATACTAGTTGTCAATGGCATTTGGTGAATTCTGAAAAGTTCGATGGCATTTGATGAATTTCGTAATTTGTCAGTGGCATTTGGTGAAATAGCCGTTTTATTTAAATACTTGTATTTGATTTAATAATTTGATGTAATTTGGTGTTTGATGTAAGGGTGAGTCTGACAATGGTGAGGGAGAGTGAGTATTTGTTTATGTTTGTGTGGTGGGGAACTTTGTTGGGGGATTTTATATGCTTTTATAAGTCTTTGCTAATGGCTTTTTCTACTTTGACTTCTTCCTTCATCACATATTTTTTTGATGGGTTGGATGATGGCTTCGTTTTTTTTGTTCGTCTCATTATTCTCTAGTTGTCTTTATATATGTAGGTCGTTGGATGTAGAAGTAAAATTAGAAGAAGAAAAGTGCAGAGAATTTGAGGGTAAATTGTATTACTTCAATGGAAAACGGAGTAATGGTAGAAGACAAATCAAAGAAAAAAGTGAAACGGTCTTTCAGAGGTGGAAGTATAGTTTATAATCAATGTTTGTTGTTCAATGTTTGTTCATCGATTACTTCATGTAGTACAAGAGAAGTAATACTCCACATACAATAAGGGAGGATTTTATGGTCGATTTTCAACATTAATTGTGATACGGATTGAGATATTATTAATTCTACATATTCTCCTCCTTCAATGTTTTTTTTAGAGGTGAATCAAATAATGGATTTTATAACCAAACTTGATCACTTTAACTTATCCATGTTGTGTATGTTCGTTTCTTGCATTAGTGGGTTGCTCTTTATCATTGGTAATTGATAAATTTAATTATCTCTTTGTTTAGGGATATATATGTAAGAGAAGTGGGGCATAGGGTTGAGATAATTTGAACTTAAGGTAGAGATTAATAACAAAAAATCTTGAATGATTTTAGCACAAACAAACTTTTAAGCTCAACTAAAAAGCTCAAACTTGAACATATACAAATTAGTGGTAATTACCAACTCATTCCATATACACCGTGAGACCACCATAAAACACATTATAAGTGTTACTTCGTAAGTCACAACTCTACTAAGTATAAGTGATCATTTTTGAATTTTATTTATAAGATTTTATTTATCAATCACAAAAATCTTTATTGGTGGTTTTTTTTTTTTTTTTGTTATTTTTTTAGTAGAATCTTTATTGGTTTATAAAATGCTTACAACATGTACTTTTATGTAGATCCAAAAATAAGATTAAGATTGATTCCGCTTTGCATCAATGTTATTTGTATTTATCTACACCTAAAAAAAATCCCTCTTTGTTAATAAATGCAACTTGCTATTTGAAAATGAATGGCACATTGACACCTGTTAACTTGCTATTAACAAAGTAGAAAAGCCCACGAAAACGCGAGACCATGCAAGGGCCCAAAAGAAGCAAGATCCAGTGGCCCATCAACACAGCCCAAAAGCCAGAGTGTTAGACTATGAACCACTTATTTCAGCCTACATAATATGAAGAGATTATAATTTCATTCCGCTAGAACATTTAGATTAGTTTGTCACAACGAAGATACACGTACAACACTTAAACTACTATTACAAAAGATTAGCATAAAGATGATACCTAAAAAATTATCAAGATCATTTGCTAAATCTTCATGATCAATAATAGCTATTAGGTGTGTAATTAATTAGTGAGGCTCGGACTTGAACTTAACCCCGGGAAGGTACTTGGATACGAATTCTCGCGTCAACGTTTGGAGATCACCATCCTCAAAAATCAGATCGTCGTGCTGATGATATTCAGTTAGGTTACAAAAACTGGCCAAGTCTGCTGCTGTTACGGGTGCTGATGCTGCTAATGATGATAATGAGGGTTGTGATTGTAAGGCAAAGTTGTCGAATGAAGGCATAGAATTAATCGCAGTACTAGTGCTAGTAGTGGTGGCAATGGCAGAAGATGCTGAGATTTGATCTAAACAGCAATGTGAAGGAGTCTGGTCTACTGCAGGAAAAGCTGCCGGAAGGCGTTGTAAGGTGGAAAGCCTGGCTTGAACAAAGGCCAATTCTGCTTGCATATTTAGTACCTGCAGCCATCAGTCAGAAACAAAATTAGTTTATTTATTAATAAAGCTTCGTCCATGTGGTGCAATTGCTAAATATTTTTCCGTGTTATCTTTATAAAGAGGCACAAAGGACAATGATATAAACATATAGGCGATAAAAACACGTCTTTGGTTTATACTTTATATCATAAAGATAAACATACAAGTACAGATCAGGAAACTAAATTGTCTAGGTGAGCTGTACATTACATGAACTCCAAGTCACTCAACTAAATAGTCTGTTTGTATGCAGGTACATGATGGGTCTCATTGGCCTACTTAATTTAGAAAATATTAGGATGTACTTACCCAAAATAGATTATCTTTACCTTCATTTTTAGTTGGTAGAGTGGCATATAAAGCTAAAGTTAATCCATGTAGACTTTGGTTAAATTCCTAGGACTTGGATACAAACCTCTAATGATATGATTAACCTCATCTTATCGGAATCCGAAGTCTTGGACGTAATGATTTTGAAGCAACATACAACCTTTCCACATTCATGATAAAATTTCTAGATTTTTCTTTTCCTTTCCTCGTCTTTAGTCTTTAGTGTCTAAACTTTTAATGAATCTAACTATTAATCAAGTGAATTAGTCTATTATAAGCCGCCAAAAGCAAAGTGGTAATTTGCCTAATTATAGCAGCAAAGTTTGATAAAATGTGCTAATCAATTTTATCAAGGAATTTATAATGCCACACTTCATCAAGGGTTTATCTAATCAAGCTCTTATGACCATGGCTGATCATCAAAAACAAAAAATCGAAAATTATATTACTATATAATCTAGTTTTATTGGATGTTTAGTTTTTTACTATCAGCATCTTTAATGTATCCTAGGAATTGCATGGAACATTTTACTATTTAATTTACTAACAAAGTAATATTACATGCCTAAGAGTACTTAATAGGAAAATTCATCCACAAAAAGAAATCAAATACTCCTAGAGTTCAGAAAACTAACCGTAAAATCAAGTTTTTACAAAATTACATTTATGCACACCTTATCCTATCACATACTTGTCCTTCGTATGAAACAAAAAGGTAAGCTCACAACACTTAAGATTTAGAATGATAATTAAAAAAGATAGGCAAAGATATTTTGCCATTTAATTTTTAAAAAAAACCAAACGTTAACATACTATATTAAGGGTATTATATATACTCTAAAATTATAAAATCTCATCAATAGCTCAACGTCAACTTACATTCTTACAAAAGAAATCCAGTGTTTACAAAAACAATCATAAAAACTCCTATGAATGACGTACATGATCCAAAAATAGTTTTAAAATACAGCCTACAAAACTCATTTGCCCTAAAGTCTTCTTTATTGTCAATGAATAAACCAGCATTGGTGTAACAAAGTCAAATTAATTGTAAAAGATAATACTATAACTATTATTGTATGCACGTACAAATTGTAAATCATTTAATAATTCTCGAGCCACTAAGTTTAGCTTGATAGTTCCGGCAAGCAACGTATGACCTCTTACATAAAATCCAACCCCCAAATTAGCAACTCATACAATATACAATATACATTACATTAATATATACTCGGTTTTATGGTAAAGAATTATTATCAACTTATCAAGTTGAAATTTTAAAATGCTGATATTGAATTTTAATGCTTATGTTTCAAAAAAAAAAAAAAAAAGAAGTATGCTTAATATATTTATTCCATCCAAACCCTTTAAAAACGTTATTAAGCTTAAAAACAATGACTTAATTAATAATCATTTGATTTACAGAGTATTTTTTATTAAACGGTGTACTTGTAACTTCTTACATGCCGTATTTTTAAATTTTAAACCTTTAGCTCGGTGCTAAACGATGTTATAGAGTATTAAGGTGTCAAAATTAAAACAGAATATTGAACAAAACTTTAACGGTAATAACATCGATTGACATGTGAGTTTTAATTTATTATAAACAGCCATAGCATAATCGAGATGTTAATGGATATCTAAGCTTACAAAAAAGATTAAAAAGAAGGTGTGTCTTAAGTTTGTAATGTTTTTAGACATTTACTACTAGTCTACCCGGCATTTTGGTTTATTCAACGAAAGAAAGTCGGACAAGAATGTCAAACGGAGAATTTAGTATCCGTTGATAATTAATGTTCTAGGAAACAACAAACGTACCAAACCAAAATTTATGTGATGTTCAAACTTCAAACTAGATTTATCCAATTGCATTAAGTTGGATGTTTGACCATATGCTATTCAATAATGAAGTACTACTAGCTACTCCTAGCTACTAAGATTAGAAAACTACTTCAATTCATCATATAGTTTAATGAATAGAGTTCTCTACTCGTTCCTTTGAAGATTGTTATATGATGATAGACAAGCTCTACTAACCTCTTACGCTCATTTACCTTATAAAATGGGTAATTTTTCCACTGAATTGAATCGATAACTAGCCTCTCATTTTTAAGTTACTACTCCGTAATCTACAAATTCTTATGGGACATGTTAATTAAATGGACAATAGGGTATGATTGAATCACCTGACGACCAACATGCTAAAACTAGCATTTATAGTTTTATACGAATTATACCTCGTTCACTTAATTTTAACTTCTTTAAAATTCTTGAAAAATTTTATGTTATTATTAGATAATTAACTATAAACAGAGAGAATCTTTGTACATTTCCCTTAATGGGAATTTTGTAGGACATGTCAAATCTATTGTCTTACTTCAATTCACAAAATTGGTTAAAATACTTTAAATTTATGCTCATTTATAACATCATCATCAACCTTATCTTGGAATTTTTGACATGATTCCTTACACAATCATCTGTCACTTCTTTTATACAATGAAAGAGAAATGCAACTTTTATTTTAAAATCAAAGAAACAATCATTTGACCGAAAATACGTTTTGTCTTATGTTACTAATTTATTATTACTCTTGATTTGTTTAGTTAATCAAGGTCACCCTTAGCTTAAATAATCATCAAAAGCTGATCACTACAAGAAACTTCTTAAATTTTTTTACTAATCACTATATAATACTCGTGATCAAGACTAATTTAAATTCATAATTTAATTTCCTAAAAGAAATTTAAGTCAGAATTATTAGAAAGTTAAATCAAACCCCTTCTTTTTTTAACAGTGAACAACTTTAATTATTGTAAGGAAAATTGTCGATTATAAATTCTTAATCCCTTCGTTGCTTAATGATCTTCTTGTATTATTTCATTCACGGTGATTCAAAAAATTCTTTATGTTTTAAAACTTAGCCTAGCTAATATAGTTGAAAGTAAAATGTAAATAATTCAAGTGAATTATTGATTTTATTTTCACACTACTAGCTCAAATTATACTATGAAAACGACAATTATTTTCGAAAATTTTATTAAAAAAAATATTCATAGTAAAATTAAAAAAACATAAAAGAGTGTATTCTAAAAAAAAAAAAAAAAAAGTAACATAAGAATTACATACCTGTTGTTGAAGAGTGAAAATGTGAGCAACACAACCATAAACAGGATCACGAACCCTAGACAAAGCTTCATAACAAAGAGTAACAACGGCATCGAGGCGGCGGTGAGCGGGGATGCGGAGGAGGAGCTTAGAAGCATTGCTAGCACCAAACACTTTGTGCACGGCCGCAAAGTGAGCCGTGCCTTGTTCGGAGTCAAAGTAGGGTGCAAATACACACCCTTTTACACATTTTCTTCTTAGGTACTTGCATGCTCCACACGGGCCCCCGCCACTATTATTACCGTCGCCGCAACCACCACCGCCACCGCCGCCGTGCCATTGGTGGTTGTTTTGTTGGTGATGGTTGCTCATTTATGGATGTTGGATGTTTAGAGAGAGATTAGGAGAAAGAAGTTGTAAGAGGGGTGTAGGAGGGTATTTAAAGAGAAAAAAATGAGGAAGAATTTATTAATTAATTAGAAAAGGGTGTGAAAAGGGACTACATTTGTTTAATCAAGAAAATTTGATGATTTTTTTTTTTTTTTTTTTTTTGGAAGGGGGAAATTAAATATTGGTGGTGGGTCATTTTGGAAGCTACTTGTGGAGTTGTGCATACATTTAATTATAACCTTGTAAATGGTGGCATTTTATTTAATTGTTTAGGAAGAAATAAAAAGAATGTGACCATCCAATTTCACTTGATCTAATAATTACGTCAATAATTGGTCTCATGAAAAAGTAGGAGTTCTTTTTCCTTATTTTGGTGTAAGGGTAATGCTATATGTAGACATAAGGGTTATATATAAGTATTAAATACACTCTTGAAAATTGTATAAAATTAGGAATTTATGACAAAAACACACGTAAATTAGTGTAGTTAGTGTTTATATTTTTATAATTTCTTAAATTGTTACGATTTTCTAGCGTGTATTTAATGTTTATAGGGTTATGTATAGCATTTTTCCTTTTTATTTTCTTCAATGTATACAGCTGTGCTAGAATGAAGTTTCCTTTTTATGCATATAGGGTTAACTATTACTTGGCATAAATTGTTCCAAAGAGGGCAAGTGATCTGAGCAACCAAGACAATGATATTTCGGATGATAAATCATTTATAACTACAAAGTATATATGTAGTACATACATATCAATTAGATGTCCAGTCAATAAAGGACTTGACCGATAATTATTCCCTCCTATAAGTATAAATTATCTACTGGTAGTTGTGTGTATTAGTCTAATTCATCTCTAATAAACCACACGGCCCACATCATAATCCATTGGATAATAATAGAAATAAAAGTGTGCATAAAACAATGGCACAAAATAGACCACTAACTATTTAAAGACACACCTAATAAAACTTTTAAAAGCACTTAATAAATTAATTACAAGTAAGTAGTATGATCATTAGCCATGTTATAAATATCAGGAATGTTTTCTTACTTTTCAGTTTTGATCATCAATTCATCATTAATAACATAGCAGAAGAAATGAGATGACCTAAGATGATATCAATAAAAGAAACCAAAACATAAAAGGAAAACAGTAATAATAATTAAAAAAAATAGTACGGAGGAAATAATATAGTTATGGGAGGAAGAAAAATGAGAAGAGTTGGGTTATTGGAGTAAACTTTAAAACCACGACAACTTTGAGAATATATCAGCCTAGGGGTAACCCTCTTGCGTGAAGCAAACAATTCTTTTCATTTTTTCTATTACTGCTACTTCCATTTTCTTTTTCTTTTTTTTTTATTATTATTTTTTTTTTGAATAGCAAACAATGAATTGGAATTTTATCAAAATAAATATACTTTGCATATGAATTAATTAGATGGTTTAGAACTAACGTTTAATTAGGGTGTTGCATATGTTCGTCTTTTTTAGTTCTAACTTATATTTAGGGTGTATTTATATTACTAATTTTTATTCATCCGAACTTATTTTATTTACTTTGAAGCTGTAACTTAAAATTGGATAATGCTTATAAACTTTATCGGAACTTACTTTTTACATATGAACTTAGTCTTATCTGAACTTTTTGATTCAGAAATAAAAATAAATAGTTTAGGACCTTTTTTTAAAAAAAAAAAATCTGCAATAATCCCTTTTTTTTGGTGTAAAAATTTAACTATAACGGAGTAAGATCTTTATTCATATATTAATAAAATTATACAAGTATAAATATTTATATTTTTAAATATAATGAAATTAGCTAGATCGCACGTGATTAATTTATATAGATAGTTAAAAATAAATAAAAAATTATCCCTATGTGCCAATTCAAAAATAGGAAGTAACATTTTTTTTTTTTTGAAGTAACATTATTATTACTCACATTACATCATTTTTTTTAATATTATAACACAAAGCATGCTGATAACTAGACAAAATTATGTTTCACCGTACATAAGTGAATATTGTGTAGATTCTAAAATTAATCCCTAAATTTTATTTTTTTTTTGGAAAGGGAGTGGAAGAATAAAAGAAATATATTAAGGCTGGAAAAAATCACAAAGAATTACTACCTCTATGTCATATTATTGCAATGATTAATGTCTAATTGTTACAATTAATATAAAACGAGGGTAGTATTTTATATGGAGTTCAAGTAATTTTTTTATTTTTTTTTTACCTTCATTACTTAAAAATTGGTAGGAAATTGGTAAAAATGAAGTGTTAAAGAAAGGGACATCTAGGGTGAGGTGATGCTGAGGCTCCTCTTAAAAAAAGTGTACAGCAACTTTAAAGTCCTTGCTTTTCTCACACACACGCTCTATCTCTTGTCACTTCTCTTCTCTTTTGTTCACTATTTTATTCCATTCCTCCCTTTTTTTTACACCATTATATTGTTAGACTGAATTATAAATTTTTTTACTTTATTAGACCTTAATCATATACGAAATACGAAGTAATTTATAATAAGAAGTATGACAGTTTTGTTATTTTATCACTTATCATATCGCAAAGAAAACTCAATCCCAAAGAGTACAAATTTATAAGTGATCCAATTAAATGTATAGTGTACAAAGACTACAAACTTATACTCGCTCATCATCAAAATATATTATTATGAATAGTCTAAGTAGAATTTTAAACTCCGGCCTTTTCATTTTGCACTACATATTCACTTTGATCATTTCCTGTGAAGCTATCATAGAATGCATATAACTTTACAAGATAAATGACAAGATGACATAAATACATCATATAATTAGTCCTTTTCCTCAAATCATTTGGACAAAAGAAACATCAATTGACAAGCTAAGCTCCACGTACATACATTTTACCAAATTGAGAAATTAACAACTTTTTTCAGACAGAAGATTTCCACGAATAGAAGTTTCTAGGTGTTAGGTCAAGCAACATATATAAGTATGAAATTGTGGGCAATTTATATTAAGGAAAGTAGTAGACAAGGTTAGTGATCTGTTATTTTCTAAGGAAATTAAATAAGAAAAATACTATAGTATATAATAATAAAAATATAGCGTGACAAAAAATGTCATTGTTCCTTAATCCGTAATATTAGAAGGAAATGTTTCATTGGATAGTATCATACAAACAACCACATGCTTATTTTTAGGATTCTTCTACCGTTTTCACGGGTCGTAGTCATTGAAGTAGGTTATGGTTCAACTAAGGAAGATAATTTTGAGCATTGTTATTGTTTTTGTTTTTTTTTTCATCCTTATTTTCATATACAATATTGTCACAAATTTAAGCTAACAATAAAAATATATGCCTTAATTTTATTAATAAAAATAAATAAATAAATAAATAAAAACTTCAATAATAAATCCTTTACTTTTGTATATTGTGTTATTTGTGTACGCTGTATATGCCAGCCTATATGGTCAATATATACAGAGCATATTAGACTTATAACCTTTTTGTGTAAATGTAAAACAAAGTAGGAAGGTCATGTCTTGTAAATTAAGACTAACGTATATGCTCAAGGACTCTTTATTCAAGGATAATTACACAAGCTTGGTTAGATATCCTATTAAAGTAAATGTGTGCTTATTAACTATTTAGAGGTAAACTTAATTTTGAGGGAGTTGAAAGATACATTAAAATTAATGTGTGGGAGTTTTATGAATATCCTAGTAAATTTGTGATGCATATCTTATCAATCAGTTTTCAAATGGGTGTTAAACTTAGTTGGTAAAATTATTGTTATATGAAGTAACATCAATATAATGTACACAAAAATTAATGCTTAAAAAACATGATTATTTGGTAAAAAGTAAGGATGGTAACCCTAGTTTCAAGGTTACATCAAATCAACTTCAATTCTCACTATACTATGTTTGTATGTATGATATTATTAGATCCATACATGTATAACACTCATGTATATAAGTGTGTGCGCGCTTAACCTATGATTGCATGATTTGAAAACAATAAAAACACATGTAGAAACACAATTCTCCAAGCTCAATCTTTGAATTACTCCTTCTGGTTTTAAATACTTGCTCCATTTCTCCATGTGCGGAGTTTTAGGAGGAATTGGGAAAAGTAATAAAAAATAGAGATAGTGGGGTAAGTAGAAGAATAAAAAATTGTAAAAAGCAAAAATAGTTGAGAGAATTGGAGGAAAGATAATATGAAATTAATAAAATATGATTTATGTTTGGTTCACTAGTTAATTTAAATATTGTAAAAGCTTTCCATATAAGGAAATTGTGCAAGTATTTAAAAAGGACCAAAAATGAAAAGTGGAACAAGTATTTAAAAACGGAGTGAGTATTAATGTAAATGATTACGTATTCTATGTTGATAGATTTAAGTAGATTTGATAGGAAGTAAGTTTGAGAAATCTCCAAGAAAACAAGATACACAAAACTCACAAAGGCATTCAACAACGGTTCAAACTACCTATACTACTAACTCCATATAGTAGCTGAGTTAGAGGCTATAGTACGGTGTACATACTTGGTAGAACCTTAAGCCATGCATCAACACAGTTGGTGCCTAATTAGCAAGTACTAGCTAGATATATAGAGTTAGCTAGAGAGAGAAATTTGAATTGAAGTTACTTCAATCAATTTGATGGAGTGTGTTTCCATCCATCAATTGCATGTGATGAAAGAAGACATAAAATTTTACTACTATTACGATCTACTTCTTGATTTGATTTAAAGTTATACACGAAATTGATTTGATATAAATATTACTATTTTTTTAGGTTTTGCATTGTGTACATATTTTTCAATTCACAATTTTGACCCTCTATACTCCTCTCATTATCAAATATTATTGCCTTTGTTTAAAAAAACAAAAAAATTATTGCCTTTAAAGAAAAAGTCTCTTTTTATTTTTATTTACTTTTTTTTTTGTTTAATTTTGATTAATCAAACTCTACTTTTTTTTTTTCATTTTAAATCAAACAAATCTCACTATCTTTGTTTTTCTTAATAATATATATTTATCTTTAATAAATAAAACGCAATTGTCCTTTTTCTTTCACTTTTCAAAAAAATTGTACGTAAGATAAATTTGAATTGTACGTGAGGATGAAGGGGGTATCAATTGCAGAGTAATAAAAACTATAGTCCGTTGATATTTTAAATCTACATATTTACTCCATACTACTTGTACTCAAACAAAAGAGGAAAATAGTAAGGTAGGACTAGAGGTATTAATTCAGATATTCAGATTGAATTCGATAAGGCCGGATCGGTCTATTTTAAATTAATTTGATTCATGCTAACTATTGTGTTATTCATACAAGTTAAAGTTAAAGTTTAAATTTAAATTTTTTTATTTTATTTATTTATTGAATTAATTTTGACGCCTCTAAATAGGAAAATAAATTT